GTCGAGTGGGGAAAGTGGGGAAAGCCGAAAGCTTGGAGAAGGAGGTGGAGGGAGGGAATGAGCTTGGAGAAGCTTGGAGAAGGAGGTGGAGGGAATGAAGTGGGGAAAGTGAGTGGGTAGGTGTGGGGCTGTCCAAAATATATATACTAATGGCGCACCTGGTCATAGTGCTAATGGCGCACCTGGCTAGAGTGCGCCATTAGTAGTTTTGAAAAAAAAAAGAATAAAAAAATACAGTAATGGCGCACGATCTGCCTCGTACGCCATTACTACTAGTTAGAACTAGTAATGGCGCACTTCGACCTGATGCGCCATTAGTATGTATGGAAAAATGAAAAAAAAATAATACTAGTGGCGCACCATGCCTCTGGTGCGCCATTAGTATATAGTAGTGGCGCACTGGTTCCTCGGTGCGCCATTAGTATCAATCCTATCTATATCCCTTTTCCTAGTAGTGCTCTCTCTTTGCGTGCGTGCGTGGGGCACCGTTGATCGCACGTACGTACTCCCTCCTTTCCGGTTTATAGGGCTTATCCCAAAATTTTAGTTTTTTCATTTTATAAGGCTCAATTTGGTTGTTTTCCATCACATGTTCAGATTTCAAGGTGCATTAAATCATTGCATGCAAGTATTAAAAAAAAATTGACCAATGCATGTAATTTATGCATGCATGCATTGCAATTAATGCATTGGTAAAAAAACTTTTTTAAGAAAAACAAGAGCATTATTTGGGTGCTTTTGCAAACTCCAAAAGGCATTCCACCACTCACCATCTACATTGGTTGATGAAATTTTTGAATTGAGCCTTATAAACCGGAAAGGAGGGAGTACGAACCAGCCAACGACAACAGTAAATCTTCCTCCCACGTTTGGAATATCGACCCCGGCACCAGAATTGAATTGTTTGAAATACCTATGAACCACTCTCTCCGTATTAATATATAAGACCTTTTTAAATATTAGAGGGAGTATCATAGATACATGTGTTAAGACTATCATATTTATTGTACCTATAAATGTTTGAGGCTGAAATATTGTTGTGTGACCATGCATTTTGTGTTGCTGTGATTCATTTCTAGAATATTTGTTATTTTTATTGATATATATTCATTCAATTATAGTCACATGTGAGCAGATTTCCTTTTTTAAGTCATGTAAAACAAGGCGCAATCTTCATGGTATAGTGTAGATACGCAATTCCAAAGTTGTCGTCCAAACAAGATTTGGTGTTGAAACCCATAGCCATTTCGATGGTCAATTCAGTGAACAACCAAGCACGCGAATTCGTATTCGTGTTATTTGTTTTCTCGCAGAGTGGAAATTCTAGTCCAATTCAATGCGGAGCTTTCCAATACAGACATACAAACAAAGCATTAGGGAAAACATAACCTAACATACCCTTAGCATGCCAAGCAAACATGCCCTAAAACTTAATTCCAGTTTTTCATTGTTGTTCCATGATTTCCATTAGCTCACAATGCCAGAAAAGCAAGCCTTCGCGAAACGATACAACAAAAACTTGCTAGCGGTTTTCCTCCGACTCCTTGATACCTCGACTACCAATGATGGAAAAGCTTGAAACCCACCGCCACTACCGCCAGAGCATATCGCCGCCACCATCGCCGTCTCAAGTGTCCGTGGCCCGCTATCGGCGCTGTGAGAGCGTGCCATCTGCTCGTCACAACCCTCCGTCTCGGAGTCTTGCGCCGTTGTGCAAGAATAATCTTGCCGCCGTCCTCCGTGGTCGTGTCGGTGTCTATCTCATGAGAATCTGGTGAGACTTCAAATCAAAATATATTGCATACTGCATTAGTTTCGTTCTAAGTCAAATTTGTATTATATATTTTTTTTGACAAAGGTTACAAAAAAATCACTATCTCTACTACTTAATCTCTACTTACTTAAAAAGAATGAAAGGTTCCCATTTCACCTTTTTTTTCACCACCTCTTCATCCAACCTTCCATGTATATGATAATCAATCATCTTAATTTACTTACATTGTGAACCAATTCCACTTTAATTTACTTACCGAACTTCTAATCAAAATATAAGGTAATTCACATGCAAAATTTGGTGAACATTTGTTTGCACAAATCACATTATTATGGACAGCTAAATCACAAACTAACGTACTAATTTTCTTTTAATCCCATTGCAATGCACGGGCATTGTTCTGGTATATAACAACATCTACACTACAGAATCGATATGTTCACAACCATGGGGAGCTCTATTTTCATTTTGTAGTATTTTTTTGTGGGATTATTTGAGTGCTATTAGCAGCAAATTCCAGTCTAATAATTTTTTTAAATCGGTATAGCAAATTCCAAAACCTTATCCCAAAGCTCGTCGTCTTGTTCCCGCAGCCGAGCCACCTCCCGCTGCTCTTCCCCTTCATATTTCTCCACACCCCGCTCCCGCTCCTCACCCCCAACCCGATGGCTCTCACGACGCACCCGCCGCTCCGGCTCCACGCGCGGCCTCCCGCCGTGGCCGCCGCCCACCGGCGCCGCGCGCTCCTCCCGCCGCGCCGAGCCCGCCCCTGCCGCTGCTGCGCTGCCGCCGGCGCCGACGCGGGGAAGGCGCAGGCCAGGCGGGCGTACCCGTACGACGAGATCGAGCCGAGGTGGCAGGCGCACTGGGAGGAGCGCCGCACGTTCCGCACCCCGGACCTCGGCGACGGCCTCGACACCTCCAGGCCCAAGTGCTACATCCTCGACATGTTCCCCTACCCCAGGTACCTTCCCACCCAAGCGCCCTCCCACTCCGTCTCTAGTTCGCAGTCAAATTGCCGAGTTTACCGTGAATATGTGGCTGGCTACTCCACCGCGAATTTGTGCTTGAATTGTGTATGTGTACAAATAATGGTTCTGCAATTTCAGGAGTTTCTCCACCAGTGCTCGAATTGTCAGAGTTTATCATGAATTTCTCTAGTGCTGTACTGTACTGTACTGTCCTTGCAATTGCACGCGGTGGTGTAATTGGGCTGTGCCTGTCCTGAGTCGTGCACTAGGATACGAGGCTCTAGTTTAGTTTTCTCTAGAATAATACTATGGAAGTATCCTCCTCTGTTATGCGACTGCATAGAGCCCAATATTAGGCAGGAATTAGGGGGTCAATGCTGAAATGAATTTTATTCCTCCCGGATGCATAAAGTCGTCCTGAATTGAAACCTACCCTGAAAGAGGATGCGTGTTGTTCGTAGTTCACATGATTTCGCAAATTGCCGTGCAGTGGGGCTGGGCTGCATGTTGGGCACCCCCTTGGGTACACGGCGACCGACATTCTGTCGAGATTCAAGCGTATGAAAGGCTTCAATGTCCTGCATCCCATGGGATGGGATGCGTTTGGCCTTCCTGCCGAGCAGTACGCTATCCAGGTCATTTAAACTATTGGGCTTGTTATTTTTTTGGGTAAGTTTGGTGTCTTGCTACGATCTGAATGATGTAAACTGTAACATTGTGCGCAGACGGGAACCCACCCGAAGACTACAACTGCGCGGAACATTGACCGCTTCCGCACACAGGTAATGCCTTTACTTTGTTTATATACTTCATGGCTTCATGCTATGTTGCATCTTTTGCTTCTAAGGTGTAGTATATATTACATATTTACAGTAGCAAGTCAAGTGTGCTCTCACGCTTCATTTTCGGGCTGCCAATTAGATGTGCTTTGCACTTGCATTTCCAGTAGGTTGCATACACAAAACATATCACTTCTTGCTGGCTCCATTAGTTCTGCTACTAAGTAAGGTTCATTAATTGAGCTATATTGCCAATATAGCAATATGTTTTAGCCGAACAAGATCTTGGCCATGGTCTAACCATGGGCCCAAGTGTTATAACTTATGAAACAACTGGTATAAGTTATCATAGATGAGACTTCCCATGCGATGCTTTGTAGGGTGCTTGTTTTGATTGGTCAGTGCGAAATCATTGGTATTAGTTGTACCCTTGCCATGCATGTTCCATGACTCGTCGCCTGAAACTTTTTCATGTACCATTGAAGCAATGCCCGCTTTCTCTAAGTCCAGTTTACAATGAACTTACTCCTTCGTTTGTAATTACCATGAACCATGGATAGAGTGTTGATATGAAAACCTGGCTGTTTTTGCAGAAACGAAACTGAAAATGTTCTGTGTAGTACTTTGATTATTAGTGGTTCATTAGGGGGATGCTTTCTTGTGTTGCAGCTTAAATCATTAGGTTTTTCATATGACTGGGATCGTGAAATCTCCACAACAGAACCAGCCTACTATAAATGGACGCAATGGATTTTTCTTCAACTACTGAAAAGAGGATTGGCTTACCAGGTCAGAGCTACTAGTGTCCTTTCTTGCTGCATCGTTCGAGTTTCAAAGTCTATCATTTGATTTGATATGTTATGTATTTACTCTGTTTCAAGTGATCATCTGCTTTGCACCATCCATTTTTAGGATTCTGTTTTTATGTGCTTAGTGTTGTATCTGTGGTTTTCAATGATTTTTAGGCTGGCATTGCTATCTTACAATCAGGCTGAGGTACCGGTCAATTGGTGCCCTGCTCTTGGGACTGTTTTGGCGAATGAGGAAGTAATTGATGGTGTCAGTGAACGTGGTGGTTATCCTGTTATAAGAAAGGTAAGCTGTAGAAACTGTGTAACTCTTTCTGCTGCCGGTTTAGCTTATCTTTTCTTTTATCTATGTTCTGCCATGTCAATGAACCTGTTTCTCAGCACCTATCTGCAACAAGGCATATTAGATTATCCACTCTATCTTTTGCTGTGTAGCCAATGCGCCAGTGGATGCTGAGGATAACATCTTATGCTGATCGACTTCTTCAAGATTTGGATGATCTTGATTGGCCTGAGAGCATAAAAGAAATGCAAAGAAATTGGATAGGGAGATCGGAAGGTGCTGAGCTTGAATTTTGTGCAGTTGACCAGGAAGGACATGATTTAGGCGCCAAATTGACAGTTTATACAACAAGGCCTGACACCATTTTTGGTGCAACGTGAGTATTCTGCCTTATTTTTTAATCTTTGTCAGCCAGTACAGTTTCTAGATCCGGATGGACAATATTGAACTGCCTTTTGTTTTCTGCTGCAGATATCTTGTTGTAGCACCTGAGCATGTTTTGTTGCCGTCTCTAACATCTGAGGAACAACGTGCATATGTATGTTCTTTTTTGTCGTTTTGAGAACTTTAGCATCATTCAACGTCAATATGGACTAATTGGAAAAACAGGTAGAGGAATACACAGAAGTTGCAGCAAGAAAGAGTGAACTTGAGAGAACTGAACTTCAGAAGGAAAAAACTGGAGTTTTCAGTGGTTCTTATGCTAAGAACCCAGCAACCGGGGAGATAATTCCAATTTGGGTGGCAGATTATGTCTTAGCAAGGTTTGTAATAAACTTATCTTTGTCTTCTGTGTCTTTTAATGTTGTGTTTTGCATCATCATTGTTGCCGTCGCATTCATCCTCTTAAATAAAACTCAAATGCTACAAGGTCTACACTTCATTATAGTAGAAAACCTAGTATTCTACATGTAATGAGTAAGCAGAATACACTACTTATTGCGACATTTGCTAGAGTTCAGCTGCTGTATCCAGTTTGTCTACTTCAGTTTCCTTATTGTCATCATTATCCACCTTTTTCCCATTTCAGAGTTGCTTTAGTCAGATACACATAAAAGGGCATGGTAGAATATTCAGTAAATTGGCAAATGAAGTTTGGGTTGTTATCTCTGCATATTTTACTAATAATGAGAAAAATGAAATCTAGTTTTACACCTGTATTTACCTTTGCTCTTCCAAAGCTAATCTTAACTACTTTGCAGTTATGGCACTGGGGCTATCATGGCAGTGCCTGCACATGATTCCCGTGACCATGAATTTGCCTTGAAATATGAACTTCCAATCATTAAGGTTGTAAGTCCACCCAATGGCAATTGTGATCCCGAGGAGGCTTATGCAGATGATGGTATCATGATAAACTCATCCAGTTCTTCATCTGGGTTAAATATCAATGGTATGCTTTCACAAGATGCTGCTTTAGAAGTTACTGCTTGGGTAGAGAGTAATGGATTTGGAAAGAAAAAGGTGCATCCTTCCCCCACTTCATTGTATAGCAATGTTCTGCACACGATTTTTCTGATGGACTAATTAAGCACACCTCATTACCAGGTAAACTACAAGCTTCGAGATTGGCTTTTTGCTAGACAGCGTTATTGGGGTGAACCTTTCCCTGTGATTTACCTTGATGATACCAATGAAATGGTGCCTCTTACAGAAAACCAGTTGCCTTTAACTCTTCCTGAATTGGATGATTTCACTCCCACTGGTACTGGGGAGCCCCCTTTGACCAAAGCAGCAGATTGGGTATGTGTTCTCAACAATTTCTTGTGCAGAGAGTTTCTTTTATCTTTGTGTAATGCAAAGAACTTTCTTCTCCCCCCCCTGAAAAATCTTCTTTAGTTGTTGCATGTCTATCAATCATATATTCATATTGGAACAAAGAGTTCCGGTTAAAAAAAGTGGAACAAAGAAAATAAACATAGTGTGTGAAGGTTGGGAAAAAGGGAAAACTGCAGAGGCGTAGAGTTAATCCCACTTTTATGTTGTGTGAAGTTAAAATCATACATGAGGAAATACATAAACCGCAAAGATGACAGAGAAACACAGTTTACGAAAGTTGCATGTCACCTTGGACTGCTCTGCATCATTTGTACACGTGTTTTTGAATGAGCAAACTGGAAAAAACTGGATAATGTAAGCATTATTTGCTTGATTTTTTTGTTTTGAAGAATACCATTGCAACTTGAGGGTCATGAGATCTAATGTAAACTACTGCTCGTTAGTAAATTGGCATGAAAATATGTATTGAGTTTCATTTAGTTTTGCCTATACATAGTGTTAAAGCGGTTTGCTCCCTTTTCAGGTTAGAACCACTGATCTTTTAACTGGGAAGCCTGCAAGAAGGGAAACAAGCACCATGCCACAATGGGCTGGTTCATGCTGGTAAATTTTCTGATGTTGTAATTTCAGCAATTTATACGTTTTTAATACTCCATAATTACTTGTAGAGTTTTTTTAGGAACCATTTTGTGGTGTGCACAATTTGTAATTTGCTCTGAAATGACATGTTTGTCTTAATGTTGCAATTGCTCATCATTGTTCATTGATGGACGTCTGTGCCCTTGCTGTTGAGTGAGCCCTTTCTGTGTTTGCCAGTGACTTCTAAACCCTTACATTTTCCTATTTTTAAATGGTTATGAAGGTACTATTTGAGATTCATGGATCCAAAAAATTCCAGCACATTGGTTGACAAGGCTAAAGAAAGGTGCATCCTTCTTTCACATTTGATCTTCAGTAAGAGATGTGTGTGTAACTTCTTTTCTATATCTTGCAGTTACTGGGGTCCAGTAGACATCTATGTCGGTGGTGCTGAACATTCTGTCTTGCATTTGCTGTATGCAAGATTTTGGCATAAGGTCTGATTCTTATTAATACAATCCCCTTCTATAAAACAATTGAAGGCTATGGGAAAGTTCCTGGTCTATCTTATGTGATGTATACTATGGGAAACATATCTGAATTTGTTAATGCCGTTGTTATCAGCTTGTCACCTGCGTATTGTATGAGATTTTGCTAAAGGTGTGTTTGGTTTTTTGTACATGAAATCTAAAAACAACCTGAGAGGCCTGAATCGGTATGTGCCCAACTAACATAATAACATTGCACAGTGGAATTTCAGCTCTTGTTAGTCGGATTCAGCTCTTAGGATACTCAGGGACCAATGTTTACTCTTGCTGGTTCACTATGCTTTTTCTCTCTGCTTGTATATCACGTAGGCCTGTAGTACACATGTTTCTTTTAACCAAATGATCTCTCTACTTCTCTAGGTTCTGTATGATATTGGCGTGGTCTCCACTAAAGAGCCCTTCAAGTGCCTGATAAACCAAGGATTAATACTAGGAGAAGTAGGTGGAGCTACTTTCTTTAAGGCGTTCTACATCTTTGTCATGAATTTTTCTGTTCCTAAGTAATGGCTGTCGTAGCAGGTTGAGTATACTGCATATAGAGACAACGAAGGCAAATGGGTTTCTGCAGACTCAGATTCAAGTCTGAGTGATTGCATCCAAGAAAGAGTACCAGCAGATAAGGTGTGTTCTGATCCTGTGTATTCATTTGGGTGATACTCCCTCCGTCCGAAAAAGCTTGTCCCTTAAATGGATGTATCTAGCACAAAGTTAGTGCTAGATACATCCATTTAAGGGACAAGCTTGGGACAAGCTTTTTTGGACAGAGGGAGTAGAAGTTTGGAGATTGACACTTGCTTGCTTCTATGTTCTTAAGATCACAAAAGTTGGAGATCATTATGTGCTGAAGGATGATCCAAACATTCGTCTAAATGCACGCGCATACAAAATGAGTAAAAGTCGAGGAAATGTCATCAACCCTGATGACGTGGTTTCAGAATATGGTGCCGATTCTCTCCGCTTATATGAGATGTTCATGGGACCGTTGAGGTACATCATTTCTCTTTTACTAAAGGAAGCTGCATTGAATTTTACAGATGAAATAGAACCATTTTCAGTCAGTTAACAGAAAATTTGATACATACAGAGATTCAAAGACATGGAGCACTGGTGGAATTGAAGGTGTGCATCGGTTTCTAGGTAGGACTTGGAGACTCGTGGTTGGCGCACCATTACTGGATGGATCATATAAAGATGGAACTATGGCCACTGATGTCGAACCAACCTTTGAGCAGCTCCGCGTTCTTCACAAATGCATTGCAAGGGTAGGTCACACAGTCACAGTTGTCACAAGGGTGAACTATCATTTTTTGCACTTATGCTCTGAAATGAAAACTATGCAACTTGTTTGGTTTATTAGAGTTGCCTGTCTGGTTGGGAAACTTCTACCATGTTTCAGCTAACAAGTACTCCCTCTGTCCCAAAATTCTTGTCTTAGATTATCTAATACTAAAACGTGACTAGATACATCCATATTTAGACAAATCTAAGACAAGAATTTTGGGACGGAGGGAGTAAAAGATAACAGAGGTGTTTGGTTTGATGTGGAGAAAGAATTTATAAACTCATTCCACAAACCATACTGTCTTCTGTTTGAAATATTTCAAAACTCATGATGATTGCAGTATGGAGGCGTCCGAATGAGACGAAACCTTACTACCTCGATTGCACGTTGATCTCTTTTCCTCAAGTTGTGTTGTTGTGATGATTACTTCTTCACTCCTGTATAACATCTATTATTCTGTTTGTAGGTTTCAGAGGAGATTCAGGAAACAAGGTTTAACACTGCAATTTCTGCAATGATGGAGTTTGTGAATGCCGCATACAAGGTAAATTCAGACATGCTGTGCATGCCCCCTTGAAGGATTAAGTTGCCAGCGTTCATATTACACATCATTTTTTCTAGCCCCAAAGATGGCAGAACAGAGTTTTTCTGTTGCATCAGTCATGTGCCAAAACACAAAGTTATTCAAATCTGTGCAAGCTTTTTATGCAGATTGCTGTGACTTCAACTGTGCACAAGTGCATATTTTTCGAGAAAACGCAAAGGACCTTTGCGTTTCATTTCATATTCACTTTAATGCATGCAGTATTTCTTCGTTCATGCATTCAGGTCATACTTTGGTAAAGTATTGGTAGGCACAGAATCTCTCGTAAAGCTGGCATTAGTAGTCTCCATAGTTTTTTTTATGTCAGAATATTCAATTTTAGCGTAAATGGAACTAAAGGTTGCTTGGTTTAACACCCAAACGTGTAGCTTCTAGTAAACATGCTTTTTAGCTTATCTGGTCGTACAACCACATAATTTCTAGAAGAATCTGATGTGATGTTCACTTTATTTACAGTGGGACACTCAACCGAAATCTGTTATAGACTCCTTTGTTCTGTTGCTAGCACCTTTTGCACCACACTTGGCTGAGGAGCTTTGGTTTCGTCTTGGACACGCACAATCATTGGCCCATGAACAGTTTCCAGAGGTAAACTCAAACCTGTCCTGCTTTGCTTTGGTACCAAGCGAGCATACATTGCTGATGGATTTAAGATGAAGATTTTCAGAAAGAAGATTTTACTGCTTTGATTTGATAGTTAGGTGGGATAATTATACTTTTGTTTGAGGAATGATAACTGTAAGTTTAAATAAACAAGATCTCATAAATGTTAGAGAGCAGTTACTAACAAATAAGGGCATCTTTTGGATCACTAGTCTGATATATGCCTATGTTTTGAAATTTCACATGTGAGTGAACTTTTTTTTTTGTGGCATAAAGTATTTTGAACTCTTTCTGTTCTGTCCAGGCAAAGAATGAGTATTTGAAGGAATCAGAGATTGTGCTCCCCGTGCAAATCAATGGGAAGACCAGGGGTACAATCCTTGTTGACAAGGAGTGCTCCGAGGATGATGTGTTCCAAATAGCAGCCTCAGACGAGAGACTCTCCAAATATTTGGATGGGAAGGCCATCAGGAAGAGAATTTATGTGCCTGGAAGGATCTTGAATGTTATACTAGATCAACAAAAGGCAAGGACGTGATTATTGCTCTGGTTTCTTTCATCGATCTTTTCTGGGGTCCTGTCAGAGTAGTTGATAGTCTAGAGAGTACTGAGACGCAACAGATCTGTAAATTTCCATTCTTTTGTAGTACATTCTCTGCTATTGAGATGCATCTCTTGTGAATTGTGATACTCCTACGTTTAACAATTTATATTTATGATGGCTTCTCTCTTTGAATATATTTTCCACTTAAGGTCTACAGAAGCTTTTTGAAGAAGTGAAACGCAAGATTTCTCTAGTGGGCTACTAAAAGTACTACTGAACCTAACTCAATATGTCGCCTGATTATTTTCCAAGTTTCTAAAATTCTGTTGTTGCTTCACATGTTGGCAATGAGGATTTGACCATGAGCAGAATCCTCCTTGTCGTTACTCTACCAAAAAGGGGCTGGACCAACTAACTGAAACAGTATTTTCTTGAGTCTAACACCTAACATATCAACTGTTGCACTGATGTAGACCTTTACCCTGTCCACTAACACCAAATGGACTGATGCAACTAAGCTTCAAGCAGGTATCTCTTTAGGTTTCACTGTTATATTCTTCTGATTTTTTTTTTGTTCATCATGCTCTGTTTTCTGCACTTGATTTTCTTTGGGCATTTCGAATTGTTGCGAGTTGTGAAAAGGTATGTTCTCCATGATTGAGTCATCTCCTTTGGAATATTTATCTGCTACTTTTTGTCTCGGGATACACTTTACACAACACCACCCAATCTATTCTAGGGCATAGCTGCTTATTCTGTTGGTGATCCCTAAGAGATCTTCCCAACAAACATTACCTGTTTAATTAATGAGATGTTTGAACTAACAGAGCAGGTTAAGAAGAATATAAGCATAGAAGCAACTCAGGGAGTGCCATTGCTACTCCTGTGAGGATCTCAGCATTGCAAGATGGCGACTGAGAAGAAAATAATCAGTCTTACTGTCAAGGTTGGATTGGTGCTGTTTGCACTATGCATTCTTGCGCCGGTTTCGCTCATGGTGCTGTTCAGGCATGCAGTTCCTCTGCAGACATGTAAGTTATGGTTGCTTTGACATTTTGGCGTGTCGATGAATAGAGGGTGCTCCTGCCGGTTCCTCAAAAAAAGATTATTTCGGTTCAGTTCTAAGTTCATTTACTTTATTATGTGTTTTGCAGTGAGGTTGCTGTTTTCAGCTGGTTCAGCATCTTTGGTGGCTTGGGAAGAAGTAAAGATGTACTCTGCAAACAAAGGAGCGTTAATGTGTGAGTGTGACATGTCGAGCCTAAGATCAGATGTATGCGAGCTGAGGGGCGATGTCCGGGTAATCCTCTCAAACATCACCATCATTGCCCTCCTCCACCCCAATGTCTCTGTGAGGCGCCGGTCATGGAGGATGAAGCCGCACGCGAGGAAGAATGATGGCCATGCGCTCGCCAATGTCACAGAGGTGTTGGTGTCGGTCACCCCTTCATCACCTTACGCTCCGGGATGCACGGCCGAGAGTGCCGCCCCAGCGGTGGTCTTCTCGGTCGGCGGCTACGCAGGCAACATGTTCCATGACTTCACCGACGTACTCATCCCGCTCTTCATCACCGCCAGCCGGTTCCGCAGCGATGTGCACCTCCTTGTCAGCGACGCCCCACCGTGGTGGCTTGACAAGTACCGACCGCTGCTCCAGGGGCTATCCCGCCATGCTGTCATTGACATGCACAGGCAAAGCGCAGAGGTGCTCTGCTACCCTCATGTGGTCGTCGGCCTCAGCTTCCACAAGGAGATGAGTATCGACACCGCCAAGACTGTCGGTGGGCACTACTCCATGGCAGACTTTGCCCGCCTTGCCCGGAGATCCTATGGCCTCGAGAGAGATACCGCCATCCGGCTGCTACATGGCGGTGACAATATCAAGAGCCCGCGGCGCCCCAGGCTGCTCATCATTTCCCGGAAGACAACCAGGGCGTTCACCAACATGGGCGCTGTTGCACAGGCGGCAGCCATGCTTGGCTACGAGGTGATCGTCGGCGAGGCGGAGCAGCACTCGGACATGTCCGCCTTTGCGCGGCTGGTGAACTCGTGCGACGTGCTGGTGGGCGTTCACGGCGCTGGGCTCACCAACCTGGTGTTCCTCCCGCCAGGGGCTGTGGTGGTGCAGGTGGTGCCGCTGGGTGGGCTGGAGGCCATGGCGAGGGACGACTTCGGGGAGCCGGCTGCCGACATGGGGCTCGGTTACGTGCAGTACGGCATCGCCGTCGGGGAGAGCACACTGGCGGAGCTGTACCCACGTGACCGCCGTGTGCTGAGGGACCTGGCGCTCCGGTCGGCGTACCTGGTCAGCCAGAACGTCACGCTTGATGTCGCTCGGTTCAGTGGCGCCTTGTCCCGTGCTCTGGAGCTTCTTCACCGTTAGAAGACACTCCACAGGGCGTAGATTGTTTACAAGATAATTCGTCAAGTGTTTTACTACTGCGGTAAAATAAACGTGTTGTTGGATCGCTGTCACACGGTCAGGAGACAAATTCGAAGGTTAATCTAGTGACTAAACTCACTCAGCTAAGGATTGGCAATTCCATAAGAGAAAGTGGAACGGACCACAAATTGGAAGAACCAAAGGTTCAATCAGGTATCTCTTCAGATTTTGCTAGTGTCGATTTACAAGAAAAAAAGTGCACCATGCTCTGTTCTCTGCATAGAATTTTATTTTTGCATCTTGCGGTTGTTATGAGCTGTGAAAAAGGTGTGTAAAGCATAATTCGGTTAGAAAGATTTCTCTGCTGTTTCTGTCGGAGCACGCTGGCGGAGCTGTACCCTCGCGACCACCGTGTTTACAAAGTAATTTGCTGGGTGTTTTACTGCAGTAAAATAGAGGGTCTGGGTAAGCAGCAGTCACTGTTAGACTATGTATAACTTCTGTACCTATGTACGTATTGTAACACAACCATTATATATAATGAGATAAGCCACCCCTAGAGGATTGTGCTGGTTCCCAAAACTTATTGTCTTACATGCTATCACGCTAGGTTACGATCGCTTCCGCTTCTAAACCCTAATACCCGCACCGCCGCCGCAGCCGCCGCCGCCTTCACCGCCGCCGCCGCGCCTTCGATCGCGCCGCCGCCATGTCGAGCGCCGCCACCACCGGTTCCACTGCTGCGGGCTTCCTCCCAGCCTCTCTTGCGGCTCTGCTCAACCTCCCGCTCGATGCTGTCTCCGTTCCGGCTCCGATCGGGACAAGGAGCATCGGCTCCGTCTTCTCCACGCCGCTGGCGCCCTCGCTCGGGCGTGACCTCGTGGTCCACACCGCGGCGCCGCCGTCCGCTGCGGATTCCGCAGGCGTCGTCCCGCCGCTCCTGCCGCGAGCGGATCACACCGCCCCGCTGGCGGGGTTGGCGGCGTCCGCCCCGGCCGCGGGCCTTGCGGCGTCCGCACCGGCCGCGAGCTTTGCGGCGCCCGCCCTGGCTGCGGTCCCGCCTCCTCCCGCATCGGCTTCGGTGCCTCCGGCTGCCTCCATGGTGTTTGCACCCCAGGTAGCCTCCTCGATGGGATCGTCTTCGCCGTCGCCGTTTCACTTCGGTCATCTCATCACCATCAAGCTCTCCGCAGACAACTACATCTTCTGGCGTGTGCAGGTTCTCCCGCTCTTGGGGAGTCACTACCTGCTAGGCTACGTCGACGGATCGCTTCCCTGCCCACCCGCGCTGGTAGACAGCGTGCACGGTCCGGTCTACAATCCGGCCCATCGCGTCTGGACGGGGCAGGACCAGGCGAACCTCTCCTCCATCCAGGGGTCGCTCTCGCCGGCAGTTGCCGGCCTTGTTGTCTTCGCGAAGACGTCTCATGAGGCCTGGACCATCCTTGAGCGCACCTTTGCAGCGCAGTCCCAGGCTCGTGTCTCTGCACTCCGTCGTCAGCTTGGAGAGTGTCAGAAGCTTGACTCCACGGCCACTGAGTTCTACAACAAGGTCAAGCGCCTTGCCGACACATTGGCCTCCATTGGACAGCCCCTCACCGACTCCGAGTTCAACTCGTTTATTGTCAATGGTCTTGATGAGGAGTATGATGCCTTAGTCGAGATCATCAACGAGCGGGGTAACTCGACACCCATGTTGGCACACGAGGTTTTCTCTCGGCTTCTTCTCACTGAGCAACGGGTCGAGACTCGCCGCACCAGGGGCACTGGCTCTCTCTCGGCCAACGTCGCCACCAAGGGTGGCCGCTCTTCTTCATCACCCCGGTCTCCCTTGGGTCTGCCACCGTCGCCCGCCTCGGCCCCCCACCTACTGCGACCTTACCGGGGGCTGGCGGTCCACGTGTGTGTCAGCTTTGTGGCCGCGATGGGCACTGGGCCTCCAAGTGTCATAAGCGCTTCCAGCGAAGCTTCCTTGGTCTTGGCAATGACAGCAAAGATACACGCAACAATGCCCGTCAGGTCGCCATGGCTGATCGTCCCGCGCCGCAGAAGCACCAGGGACACACTCAGTCCTACTCCATCGATCCACACTGGTACATGGACTCTGGGGCGACAGAGCATCTGACCAGCGAGATGGGGAAGCTTCACACTCATGAACCCTATCATGGCTCCGACAAGATCCACACCGCCAATGGAGCAGGTATGCACATCTCTCATATTGGTCAAGCATCTCTTCTCACTAGACATGCCAATAGGAGTCTTCAGCTTCGCAATGTTCTTCGCGTTCCATCTGTGACCCGCAATCTTCTTTCAGTTCCTAAACTCACACGTGATAATAATGTGCTTTGTGAATTTCACCCTTTTGATCTTTTTATTAAGGATCGGGGCACGAGGGACATTCTTCTTAGTGGGCGGTTGTGCCAGGGCCTCTACCGTCTGGAGCATCCTGGCGTCGCTCGCGTTTTCAGTGGAGTTCGGGTCTCTCCGTCACAGTGGCATGCTCGTCTTGGTCACCCGGCCACACCTATTGTCCGTCATATTTTGCGTCGTCATGAGCTTCCTAGTTTGTCTAGTAATAAAGATGTAGCAGTGTGTGATGCTTGTCAGCAGGGGAAGAGTCATCAACTTCCTTTATCGGAGTCCAGTCGTGAGGTGAAACATCCGTTAGAACTTGTGTTTTCAGATGTATGGGGTCCTGCTCAGACTTCTGTCAGTGGTCATAATTACTATATCAGTTTCGTTGACGCTTATAGTCGCTTTACCTGGCTTTACCTTATTAAACGCAAATCTGATGTGTTTGATATTTTTGTTCAGTTTCAAAAACATGTTGAACGTCTTC